GACTGAGCTGACCGACTGCTCGAGCCTCCGCTATAATGGGTTCTAGCTGAAGAGTAAAATCCACTGAACCCTCCAGATCTTCGAGAACTTTTGGCCTCCTTAAACTCCATTTCCTCGCTTAAAACACCCTTTATCTTCCTTGCAATCTCCACTACTTGTTGAAATGGAGCATCAATTTGCAATTCTCGAGCCATGCATATTTTAATATCATAATCGAGCCCCTCAATGAATCTGCGGACCCGCTCTCTGATTGTAGGAACCAAGATCGATGCATGACGGGATAACTCACTGAACCTGATAGCATATTCTGACACTGCCATAATTCACTGATGTAACCATTCAAAATCTGCGCGCCACGCATTTCAGAGAGTCTGGGGAACAAACTCTTCAAGAACATTTCCGAAAATTGAGCCCAAGTTGGTGGTGCTGCATCGGCTGGTCTACCTTCTTCATAGATTTGCCACCACCGATACGTTGCGCCTGACAGTTGAAATATAGTAAAGGCAACTCCGCTCACTTCCACAATACCCTTGGTGCGGAGAATACAGTGACAATTTTCTAGAAATCCTTGGGCATCCTCTATAGCTGTTCCACTGAAAGTAGGTGGACTATACCTCTGTCACGACCCAAAATCCCACCACAGGCGTCGTGATGGAACCTAGTCTATAAGACTAGGTAAGCCGATTTCTATCACATTTTGAAGCCATTTTTTTTAATGAAATAAATAACCAAAACTAACAGCGGAACAAATATGAATGTACAACCTCCCAAGACTGGCAGTACTGAGCCACGAACTCTAACTGAAAATATGGAATGATCACGAGGACCGAATATACAATACTGTTTGATTAAAAATTAACAGTACAATGAAATGAAAAGACTCCAAGGGACTGCGACGACCAAGCAGCTCTACCTTGAATCCTTACGATCTCGCTTTAATTCTGCTCAAGTCCGATATCTCCAATACCTGGTTCTGCACAAAAATGTACAGAAGTGTAGTATGAGTACACCACGGTCGGTACCCAGTAAGTATCAAGACTAACTTCAATGGAGTAGAGACGAGGTATAGTCAAGACACTCACTAGTCTAATAACCTATGCAACATAGCATGCAAAAATAATAGAAAACAAATAGCAGTAATAGCAACATCAATCAACTTGTGATTTAAACATCAAGGTAATAGGAACACCATAAATATTGCTCAAACGAGTAATAAACACAGGTACAACCAATTAATCAGGTCCTTCAGAATATACATCTTTTATCTAAGTTATTCAATAAAAATCTCTGGAATATAATCCTTTTCAATAAATATATTTCCGAATAAATCTTTCAAGTAAATATCTTTCGAATATAATTATTTCAAGTAAATATCTTTCGAATGTAAATTCTTTCAAGTAAATATCTTTCAAATATAATTCTTTCAAGTAAATAACTTTCGAATATAATTCTTTCAAGTAAATATCTTTCAAATATAATTCTTTCAAGTAAATAACTTTCGAATATAATTCTTTCAAGTAAATATCTTTCAAATATACTTCTTTCAAGTAAATATATAATATAATTATTTCAAATAAATATCTTTCTAATATAATTCTTTCGAATAAATATCTTTCAAATATACTTATCTCAACTATATATCTTTATAATATAATTCTTTCAAATAAATATCTTTCTAATATAATTCTTTCGAATAAATATATTTCAAATATACTTCTCTCAAGTAAATATCTTTATAATGTAATTCTTTCAAATAAATATCTTTCTAATATAATTCTTTCGAATAAATATCTTTCAAATATATTTCTCTCAAGTAAATATCTTTATAATATAATTCCTTCAAATAAATATCTTTCTAATATAATTCCTTCCTCTACCTCGGCCTCCCCGACATGATGAAATTCGGCCTCGCCTCCCCCTGGTTCGGAGGCCCCTTGCCCTTCGAGCTGCGATGGCGTACTGGACACGAGATCAAAGGATTCTCCTTCCCCCTCGGACTCGTCCCTCAGTCGATAGAGTGAGCCCGGGGACAGTGCTCGACCACTGGTGCTTCCCTTGGGTTTACGAGCCAATCTTTTCTTTGGCTTTTCTTCTTAGGGCCCGGAGAACTCGGAGCCTTTTTCCTTTTCTTCTCTTTATCCTTCCCCGAGGCAGGGGGATCTGTGAAGATATCGTCATCACGGGACGAAGGCCTCATCTCAACATCTTTTG